ATCCCAACCAGGGAGCCGTGACGCTCCAACCGAGGCTAGCTCCGAAGAGAGGGACTTCATTCCTCTCTACAAAATCATCACTTGGCCACCTCTCCTCTTCTTCCACCCACATCCCCGGTGAGCAAACAGCGCACGTCGAGGGAGTCGGTGGGCTGGCACGCGTAACACCTGGCCCAGCCAACGGAGACTGGTGCGTGAAATAACGGTGCTGAGCGGTTCATTTCTTCTTCTTGTGCCGTAAACAAGGCGTCGAACACGCCCGTTGCTCACGCGGTGTTCCCACCAGATGTGAGCTAAAGTATGAAGGCACCGGTGGTCGAACGTAACTAGAAGCTTTATGTCCGCTGATCGAAGGGACCAGGTTTCGCAACCGTACAGTAGGGTCGAACGTACCGCTGCATTGTACAATCTACACTTCAGGGCGAGAGTGATGTCGCTCCGCCGCCATAAGGGGCGAAGGTTAGCAAAAGCACTTCCAGCTTTTGCTATACGGTTCGTGATCTCGTCTTCGATCCAAGGGCGCTGATACAACTTCCCAGGTTGTTGAATTTTTGAACGACTTCTAGCTGATCGCCACCAAGGGTCAGAGAAAGAGGCGGTCCAGGCCAATCTTGGAGGAACGCTTTGCATTTCGGTGGTGCAAAGCAAAGCGCGAAGCGGCTGACAGCCAGTGCTAATCTGTCCAGTGTCGCTTGGCACGTCTGGGAGCTGTCACAGATGAGGGCAATATCGTCCGCATACTCCAAGTCAAGAAGTAGTTCTCCTGGGAGCAGATCCACCCCTTCTAATTCGTGACCTGTGAGCGCGATTCCTATGGCTTCCTCAATAGCGAAGTTGAAGAGGGAAGGTGACAGCTGGCATCCTTGTCTCACACCGCTGGAGATATTGAAGGGTGGCGACAGCTTGCCGTAAGCCCTCACGCTGCCCGTGCTACGCGCATATAATGCTTGGATAAGGCTTGGATAAAGCACCACCCAGCATAGCTCAATGGATCGCTGAGGCACACAAACCATCGCACCACGGTAATGTCCAGCCTCATTGCGATGGATCGAAGCGGAGGAATGATGCGTTTAAACAAATGTCAAGAAACAAACGATCGTGAAACTAAAGCAGGCGACTTAGTGTTGTAGCCAAAATTAGCTGTCTATAAAGCACCCCCTAATACACTTCACATACTACGGTCGAGGATGTAAACGAACTCCCAATCTTTCTCAGGTCGTATGTTATCAGTGGGTAAAACTGTACTTTGGTCATCCGTCTGTGTTGGACGAATGAGGTGTTAGCCCACACCTTTGCGGTTGTAAAGAAAGTTTTCAGCGAAACCAAGGGCGAAACCAATCCACTGTGAAAAACGACGACTCGAGCAATGGGCCCAGTATTTTAAGCAGCAGTTTAATTGGTCAGCAGCACCGATGAGCTCCCATTCTGGAATCCAGAGCGTTTGTCCGTACGTAGACGCTTCACCACCATCTGAGGCCGAGGTTATCCATGAGCTAGGTCTCTTAACTCGTTCCAAACCCCTTGGCCCAGTTGGACTTCCTCCGACTCTTTCCAATGATGGAGGTCATCACTTGTTCAGGAGTTAACTTCCCTCCTTCAACAGATCTTGCTCACTGAAGTTATCCCCTCTGTTTGGAGCCTATCGAAAATCGGTTCCGCCTTCATACAGTACCATAAGTGAGGGTGCCAACTACAGAGGGGCCAGTATTATCTGTGATTCTTCCAAGGTGCTCACAGCTTTGCTTTTAAGGAGACTCAACCTGGTACGCGAACAGAGCATCCGTGAAGAACCAGCTGGGTTCCGCACAGCTCGGAGTTTTATCGATCACATCTTTACACAGCGAAGTACTCGAGCGTCGTCAAACATTTGGCCTGTCAACGATCCTGGCCCTCTTAGACGTGTGAGTTACCTTTGACTCAGTTGACAGAGCTGCTGTCAGAAGTTGTCTACTAAGAAAAGGAGTGCCTGAGTAGTATGTCACCTTGCTTAAAACCATCTACTCTCAAACCTCGGGTGGAATGCGGTTGTACGGCTGTATTTCGCCCCCCCCCTCTTTATTATCACCACTGGCGTGAGACAGGGTTGCCCAGCATACCTCATCTTGTTCCATTTCGCTACGGACGAAATCATGGAGAGTGCCCTGGAGGACTGAGAACCCAGCGGTATCTAGCTGCTTTCGGGAGGCTGACTTGGAGTCTTGGAGTATGCAGACGATGTGTCCGTAATATGCGATTTTTCACGGGCCAGTCAAAAGGTTCTCTATGGGCTAGAGGTGTTTGTCTCCCAGTTTGGAATGACCTTCACCCTTTCAAAGTACAAGGTTTGCTATCAGGACCGGCTAGACACTGCTCCTATCTCTAGCCTTTCAGTTCATTCATTGGAAGTGGTAGACAAGTTCGTTTACCGCGGAAGCTGCCTCTGTGCTAATGTTTTAACGGCTGTGGTCTCCTTGCGTGTCTCCAGGTCTCGGGTTGTTTTTGCCAATCTCCGCCATCTCTGGCGTCGTGGCGATCTGAGTCTATCTCTGAAGTGTAGAGTTTACAATGCCATAGTGAGAGCAGTTCTGCTCTATGGCTGTAAGACTTGGTCTATTCTTACAAAGGATGTTGTGAGGCTGCCTGATTTCGATCACCGCTGCCTTCGGATCATTATTGGCGTGCGGTGGTAACAGCACACTAGTGGTGAAGATGTACGGCGGCGGATTTTCAGATCAGACAGACTTTGTCGGCCACTGAGTAGCACAATTTCTCTGCGCAGTCTTCGGTGGCTTGGACCTGCACGTTGCATGCCCACTCATCGTTTACCACGCCGTGCCCTCTACGCGTGCTCAGAAGTCTGCTGGAAGCAAAAGCAAGTTGGTTAACGTATGACTAGGGCCAGGAGCATAAAGAAGCTAACGTCAAAGTTTGTCGTAGAAGGGTGCCCTCGGTTCCCTGGCTGGAGTGTCATCAACAGCATCAATAACAGCAGTACGTCAGTCATTTGAACTGATGCTTCGCTGCCATACAACCATGAGGATTTACAGAATGAAGAATAATAAGAGAGGGAGAAGGCAGACCTACCTGAAAACCTTAATGTCCTAAGCAAACATACTAGGTCAAGGTGCCTACAATTTATGTTAACAACATACCGTCACAAACAGCTGGCTATCGTGCGAAGATAAGGCGGCATCGGCGAGACAGCTTCCTTGCGGCTTTCACTGCCCCACGTCATAATTAGCCACTACCCCACAGATAACTCAGCACCAAACGCACGTTAAACAGGCAGTCCGACTAGGAGACGGCAGCAGACGCGCCACTGGTGTCAGTTGCGAGACATGTCCTGTAAAGTAAGCCAAGCACAAGGTGGGTCACGTGGACTCCAGCCCGGAAGGCGAGACGGGCCAACGGCACTCAGTTTGGTCGTCAGTGACTTCATTTCACACTGCTAAGTCAATCTCTGTCCACCTCGAGCTTTGAGCCACCCTACACCTGGCAGACTAAATAAGGTTCTGCTCGGTAAGCGGTGACCAGGCGTTCGTAACACGTGTCCAGGCCAACTCAACTTATTCACTGCTATCTGTTTTTCTGAGGAGCCATCATGATTATCACTACCCAGTACTCTCCTACGCACATCATCGTTGCGGACACGCTGAAGCAGTACTTCGCAGACAACGATGAGCAAAGAGTTGAGTGCGCCTCAGATCTTTAGACCGAAGGGGCCAAGTCTCCCTGCCATGGAGCAGAACGGCCCTCACTTTGGCATGGTATACACAACCTTTCAGACGGAAGGAAACTCCCTTCTGTCGCCAAAGATGCAGCAAGTTTAATAAGGCAGTGCTGCTTTTGCAATGCGTGAACTTACTTCAGTTTCTCTGCCCCCATCGCTGCTGATGCAGCTGCCAAGGTAAGTGATTTGATCAACCAGCTCGAGTTCATTGTTATCAATGGTTAAGGGGTCATTAAGTGGCTGGTGGTCCTGCAGCAACACTTTGCACTTTGGAGGTGGGAAGCGCATACAAATTAATGGATCTACTCTAGACATGCTATTCAGCGTTGATTGTACCGCTGCAACATCGTCAAAAAGCAAGACGGGTTTGTCCACACATCAAGACCAACTAACATTGTACCAAGCAGGACCTCAACACCTACATCTTGAGGTTCCGTAAAGGAACACTCCATGACTGAGTCGAAGAGGTACCTGAACAAAAACGGGGAACTCGGATAACCCTGACGAACACCACTTGTGGTCAGAAAGCTATCCGACAGGTCACCGTAGATCTTGACGCGGCCTGTTGTGCTCGAGTATAGAGCATGTAAGATGTTCACATATTTCGTAGGAACAACTTTCTGCACGAGTACTTCGAACAAAAGGCATCGAGGAACTGGATCGAACACACTTTTGCAATCGAGAAACAGAAATTTCGGTCCGCGGTATTTATTATGTGGAACACCCATGGCTGGAAACACTTCGGATATGGCAAGTAACCGTGTGCATAGGCCGACCTGTTAAGACTTAATATGTCCCTAAACGTAGGTTTATAATGAGTTTCCCTCTCTCTTCGTTTGTTTATTGTATTTCTCATGCCTTGTGGCACTATTCCAATTACACTTTTGACCGTCTTATATATATATATATATATATATATATATATATATATATAGCACTTGTAGTAGCTACGATGTATTGTTCAGCGGTAAAGAGTCCCTTAAAACTGTTAGTTTCCATCAATAATTTGCATAACACAATGTGAAGACGAACGCTGGTGAATGCGCGCATTTCGTATTGTCTCATTAGTACCGAAATCATACCAAGTAATTATTTTAGACCGTTCGAAGTGTGTTGCCAACCAATCAAATGCAGTGAGATGAACGGCGGCGATGGTTCTATGGCCAGGGCAACCGAAGTTCAACCACTAATTGTTTTTGTACACACAGGGCTAGTTTTAGCTGACTCACTGAAATACAGATGCAAACCAAGTAACTGTCATCTAAAGCCGGTACCTCATGCTGTTCAGAACGCACTGAGTCACCGGCAGAGTTTGTTTACGCCGCTTTCGTATGCGCTTTTGCAACCCGCAGCATTGATTAGTCAAATTTAAAATTTTCTTCCTTCGACTTCCAAGCGGAAAGTGTTATTCGGTGTGGATTCCAGAGGTTAGCGACTAGCTGGTAAATGCTCTACCTGAACACGAGATGAAAGTAAGTGACTTAACTGAACAAGAGGTCTCGAGCATCATCGGAGGCTTTCGATATTTTGATCAAAAGAATACCGGATTTATTGCAAGAAGCCAATTTGGAACTGCACTACGATGGCTAAAATTGATCCCTTCAGAAGCACAAATCGAAGCATTGTTAAAAGTTGTGGATCCGAACAATAGCGGGAAGGTCTCTATGGAAATGTTTTTGGCCGCCGCAGCAGAATTGTGGTATGGTTCTCAACTAAAACTAGAGACTGAGGCTTGGAATGCCTTTTTAATGTTTGACCTAGCACTCACCGGCTCTCTGCATAAAGATGTACTCATGGACATTCTTACTCAAAGAGGATCAGAACCGATTCCTGTGAAGGAAGCTGAACAACTACTAAAGAGATTCGTAGATTCAAGACAACGAGTGGAATACAGCATGCTTATTAAGGAATTGTTGCGATGAGGCGAGTATAAGATGCAAGTGTACAGAACTGCTGAGGTGTGTATATCCACTTTGGTGGATGAAGAGTGGAGAAGCAAGACAAACTTGCAAATACCGGGTGTATGTAAAGATAACACATACACCATTAAAGCGTTTGCAGAATAAATTTTGACTGTTCTCATAGTTTCATATTCAAAATATGCGAGACGCAGTATAGTCGGCCGGTAGGGCGCTTCAGTTATGCAAATGGGTGCCGGGTTCACCCCCGAGGGTTTTGTTAAGGATATACTTGAAGTCTGCTTAGTTGATTATCAAACCGATAGATCTTTGTGGACTCAGCTAGATGTAAAAATGCTTGGCATTTCTCAGTTCTATTGCCCAGTTCCCGGATGGTATTGAGCGTGACAGTATTGCCACTTAGATTGTAAGAAAACCTTCTGCAACTTGGTTGCATGCGAAAGCCGAACTGTATGAGGAACAGTAGTATGTGGCACATGGTGAAATAGCCTGCATTGTAATACAAATACTAATAGTAATACCACTACTACTACTACTAATAATAATAATGTGTCAGCTGTACGCCGTAACGGCGCTTCCTTGCCGTGCAACAACCAGCAGTCGCACCCGGACTGTATACCGCGAGCCCTCCTACGCAGATTCAACCCGTGCCGCAAGATTACAAGATAAGCTCGTTACCGTTAGGCTACGTGCCGAATCTGCATTGTAAAAGATCACAAAGGCCTCCAAGGTTGGTCGCTTAGTGTATGGAGGAACCGGTAAAGGAGAATACCAAGTCAGTCAGGTTTACCTCACATATAAAGTATCCTGATGCACCTTAGCGTCGGACGGCCGTAAATCCCGAGGTATGCCGAAATGTACGTGTACGTAGAGTCCGATCGTGAACCAAGCAGGCAGCGATGCGCACAATCACAACAATCCAGCGGCAACCAAGGAAGAACCAAGGAAGACGAGCTCGTAACCAAGTGTGTGTGTATACAGTTAATTAAAACATAGCTGTACAACAACTGCAGCGAAATAGGTAAACGTGAAAATGAAAAATAAGCAAAATATTTACAATCGCTACAAGTGTTCTAGAAGAGTCGGTTCCATTGTAATCAGTCGTACGTCTCAAGTCAACTGTTTTAATATTTGAAAATAGTTTATACTGGCTAAACAAACGATAAACTGGATGACTGTCTGCTTTCTCACTATGGTCACAAGAAGAAGTTCCGCAATGAATGCACTGCTAGATATGTTCTAAGTAACTAATTGTGTTCATGTGATATTATCTGTAACTGGTGGACAGCGAATTCTTTTTGCAATCAGATTTCTTACAATCTGCTGCCATACTGATCCCAGAGTGCTTTGACCACTGGCTTTGGAGAGCCTATAAAACAAGGAAGCTTTGTCTGATCTTTTGAAATGAAGTGCCAAATTCAGGCTAGTTGTGAACTCCTTGCTTCCATGTTGTCACTTCCTTTTGAGAGTACTTCATACGATATCCCCAGCTTGCAGTCTCTAGGAGGAAATCCAGAATTGGATCTCATGTCAAAAGCAGGAGTATTTGTGGTGCCGGCTGAGCTGGCGGACTGGCTGAACCTCGGGACAAGTACTATCACATTCTGGTATCAACATTGGTTTCAAAGTGGATAAGCATGATGTTCCTAGTTCCTGGTTTTTGATCGTAGCAGGGAAATGTGCGACGGTAATATCTTTGGGGAATCATTACCATTGTCGGAAAAATCATCAGGTTATGCATCCATTGTCATCAAGTTGCAGCGGTGTATAGCTACCAAAGACAAGCAGTGTACGTAACGATGGTGTAGAAACATTCGCGAACTTCCTCACTTTTTACGGGGATTCCAAAGGTCTTCAGTAACCTCGGATATCTATTGACAATGATGTCATAAAGAGGACGTGGGGACTCAAAGTTACCAAGTGAATGGCAGTCCTAGTAGGCGAACTAACTTATGACCGTACCAAAAATTTCCAGACGAAACACCACCAAGACAGGCGATACGAAGGACAGTTTGTTTCCTCGGCTTCAATACTATATTTGCGGTGGCAGATTCAAGCTGGTTTGTGGAAAATCCGATGAACTGAAGATGATTGATGCAGTTTCTGAACAATTAGCAGCAACAAAGAATTCGGCTGCCTAGGCAACAAACTCTCTTGGGTCAGCTGCGGACTACCAGCTAGCCAAAGCCGGTTTCTGTGGAGTATCGTCCGTAGTTAGGATAAACAACAGGGAAAATGTGGACCTTTTTGCCTTTACTCGGTGAATTCCATGATCGCTCTCCCCTGTTGGGTGTAGGCTGGTTGCTGGTGTTAATCTAGCACTGTGGCTGCGGCACCTCACCATCTCAATTGACACAGATACTATGTCCCAATTACCATCGCCAGCGTCATCGAATGGTCCACGCATTCTGCGTGTGTGGCCGGAGCTTGGAAGACTTTAGTTTACGGAAATGGTTTGGTGCGTGATATTGAAGCTGTCGCTAAAGGTGGATGGTGAATAATCAGAGGAACACTTGTCATCTGGTTGACAAAACGAAGATTTGGTTTCTGTAGTGGATTCAGATGAAACTGCGTAACTTGATGAATCCTCTGATGAATGACAACCCGCCATCAGAAGTATGGCATAATAAAAGGAAAACGTAATACAATGACAGAGAAAAAGGCAGTTTTGCTTTCACACACACGCCATTTTGAGTACTTTTTGTTTTGGAATTTTTATATTATATTAAAAATTAACTACCAAATGATACGGTTGAACAACGCTGTCACCATTAAGGTCTGCTGCGTGCCGAAACAGTCAAGGTTTCCATCCATTGGGAGTTTGAGTCGCGCGGCCTTCATCCTGGAAAGCGAGCTTGTCCGATGGATGCCAAACTTCAGGTTGCCTTATTCACGCTCCTTCTCCACATCAATGGTTGTCAACTGGACTCTTTTTCCAATCACTTTCGGGGAGCGCAAATAAAGCTGGACGAGGAAGGTGATAGGCTAGCATACGCAATTTGTGATGGAGGTGTTGTCCGAGGATGTGGTCTCAGGGTTATCTGGGGGCGAAGTCCGTGAACTGCAGGTCGGATTTAAAATTTCGGAGGTTAGTGAAACTTTTAAAGTGTCCGTAAGGCTACCGGTTAGTTGTTCATGACACTCAGCTTTCAATCTAAGCCTGGTAGTTCCAAAAGATGCCTTATATACTGAGGGGACGGCGGAACCGTTCAGAGCCATGGGCAGCAAGTAATTGGTTGAGGCGACTGGGGGACACGGAATTCAAGATAAGTGAGCATGCAGTCAAAGAGGACATAGATGGTGCAGAGTAAATGTGTGTAGGTATGTATGTAATCTCAGTGCCTAAGGAATAAGACCAGGAGACAGGTGGGTGGGAGCCACGTTTCATCAACGGAGCCGGCCCACACTCCTTCACAGGCAAACACAAGCACACTGTATTTGGGAATCAAGCGCACACACAAGGCGGTGGCTGGACAGTAGTCTTATCCACACTGAGTGCATGGAACCATTCTTCGAGCCTAGCACGACCACAAGTACTGTGCACCCCGTCCCCTCCAGCAACGACCAACTGTCTCCAAGAGCCAGTATGGACGAAGTACTGGTTACTAGACAGGTAGGCAGCTTGTCACCATGCATATCCAGCGCAGCCACACCCGGGATATCAAGCAACAGCCAGTCAACTGAAATTGTCAAAGAAAATATCAGAAAGAGATATATTCTCTGATAATTTCAATTGACTGGCTGTTGCTTGATATCCCGGGTGTGGTTGTTCTGGATGTGCATGTTGACAAGCTGCCTACCTGTCTATTACCCACTACCTCGTCCATACTGGCTCCAGGAGACAGTTGGTCGTTGCTGGAGGGGACAGGGTGCACGGTTCTTGTGGCCGTGCTAGGCTCGAAGAATGGTTCCATGCACTCAGTGTGGAGAGGACTACGGTCCAGCCACCGCCTTGTGTGTGCGCTTGATTCCCAACTACAGCGTGCTTGTGTTTTGCCTGTGAAGGAGTGTGGGCCGGCTCCGTTGATGAAACGTGGCTCCCACCCACCTGTCTCCTGGTCTTATTCCTTAGGCACTAAGATTACATACATACCTACACACCTTTACTCTGCACCATCTTTTTCCTCTTTATCTGTATGCTCACTTGTCTTCAATGCCGTGCCCCCCAGTCGCCTCAACCAATAACTTGCTCGCCTATATATATATATATATGTATATAGTGAAGAATCATCATGAATTCAACATCAGCCTCAGCATTTGGCTTATCTCATATATGTATGTTTGGCGGCATCTGGTTTCGGATTTGCCGGTCACTGTGGCCAGCTACGGGACGCCTGCGCCTACAAAGGAACCATGGGTGGCTTGCGCTGCACCACTCACAGCTTCGACCACACACCTCTGTCGGTGGGAGCGCACCTCCGGGTTTGATACTACAGCCTCAACCCAAGCAACCCTTGGTCAAATTGGTGCAATCTTGCTAAAACTCTCCTGCAGTGGCCGTGGTCGCATTTGCGTATCCTACTACGGTTACAAAACACATCTTAATCGTTCCAATGCCTCAAAGGCTGCGTGTTACGACTGTCAAGCAGATCTCAATCTGCCTCTGCCATCACATTACCGACCTGGATCTTGTCCCCACTCTCTTGTGTGTCAGGCTTTTGTGCCAAAGGCAAACCTCGGAAGCACAACCGCCACCTTACTTGCGATTGCCCACCAATGCAATCGTATACCTGCACGAAAAGCACTCAGCATCGGGTGCTGGAACCTGCGTACACTACTGGACCGGAAGTCCAGTGAGCGCCCGGAGCGACGTACTGCACTGGTCGCGATGGAGCTGACGCGCTTCAACTTCGATATTGCGGCGCTCAGTGAAACCCGGATCACTGAGCAGGGTAGGTTGCATGTAACAGGTGCTGGCTACACATTCTACTGGGTGGGCAACGCCGCCTCAGCACCACGTGAACATGGGGTCGGATTTGCAATATCCGATCGCCTCAATGGCCAGCTGGTAGGTGAACCAACAGGCATCAGCGCGCGACTGATGACTGTTCGCCTACGACTAGGAAAAGGTAACCTTGCCACTTTTAAAAGCATGTACAGTCCGACCATGTGATATCCCGATGACACGCGTGATCAATTTTACACGCAGCTATCCACCGTGAT